TTTTTTCATTTCATGTAGAAGTTTAAGAATAAATCTGCATGAAAGGTGTATAAATTTTAAAGCAGGTCGGCAAATAAAAGACCACTATTAGTGCCCATCGAGATTCCAACAGTTTGCAATGTTGGAGTACCTAGTGTACGAATAATACATTAACGCAGATATCGTTGTCATTGAAAAACTTCAGCATCCTTTAAAAAATAAACTTAAGAGTATTTGGGTGTAGATTCAGAGTGATTTGAAAAGTAGAGATTATTTTATTGGTGACCAATCATAAGATATGACAATTTTCTCGTTCTACTTTTATTGAAGAAGCAATTGCCTATGAAATCAAAAAGCCTAGTTTTTAATTTATTGCGAAGAATGACTGTATAAAGTGTAGAAAACTCCTTAGTTTTGATGTTACTAACTTTTTAAAAAAAATAACGTGATTTTAAATCTTGTAAAAGTTCTTTGGAGTTTTTTTTTTAGAATCCACATTTGATATACACCACCTCTAGAATATGCTGTTACAGTAGCAAGTACATATAAAGTTACTCCTTTACCCACCGTGTGCTCATTTTCATGATCGGGTAAACGGATAAATCCGTAGAAAATTCAGATTGTATTTAATAGCCTTACAATTTGTTTGAAAAGCGTCAGTCAGCATTCGACTTACTGATTATGTCTCGCAGCTGATTCGTTACGCAAGAGCATGCTCTACGTACAAACTATTTCTAAAACGAATCAAGCTATTGACAAATGAGCTGATGAAACAAGGATATCAACAGTCTTATTCAAAGTCAACATTTTGCAAGTTCTATGGTTGATTCGATGATCTTGTAGGCAAATACAATCAAACTCCATATGCAGGTGATAAGGGTATATTAGTATATAATATTAAGGGAAGTTAACGATAGAAAAGTTGAAGTCATCAAATATATATTTTAATAATTTGTTGTTGTTTATTTAGTAAGAAAAATTGAGTGCCATGAAGTAATTTAAATGCACATTTGTCTTCGGTCTCGGTAGCTAGGTGTAGAGTACCCGGCATACATGGTGAGAAAACCCAGCATTGCTACATTTTTTTCTTAGTGGAATATAACTTTATAGCACTTTCTAAGTCATGAAAAGCTCCAAGAGGTACAAAAGAGAGAGAGAGAGAGAGAGAGAGAGAGAGAGAGCTTGTATATGATTTAAAAACTGTTCTCCATTTGGAAATAATCATTCCGAAAAATAATATAGCGCTCAAACAAAATAATGACGTCAAAAGCGGATTTAAATTGAAATATTGTTATTTATTTTAATCTGAATAGTACAATGTAGATATGACATGTTTTAGTTTCTGTATTTACCTGGTTGAGTTAAATTACAAAAACAAGAACATGCAACTTACATCCAATGTATATAATGATGTGTGTTTACACAGAACATTGAATTTCTTTGGAACGTTTCTTTCTTCGTTTCTATTTCATGTTTATTTCTTTTCCTTGTTTCTGGGTAAAATTTATTTCTGTGTGACACAAAACATGGAGAGAAAGCATTATTTCGGCATGACTAACTTTTCAAATGAAAAAAGTGTTTTTAAGATATATTACTTCAAATATATGTCTTGCTGCCGTTTTCTGTCTATGGACAAGAAATGTTAATCTGAAAATGAAGAACGGTGATCAGTAGGACCAACTTTAAAATAATGTTTGTTTGCCCTCTCCCGATTCAGGATGAAAAAATCTGGTCGGTAGATGGGAGAGAAAATTTTTTCTCTCAGAAAATTTCAATTCAATGCTGAATTTTCAAAATCTGTTATCCAGAATACATAAAAATAATTGCTTCCTGGAGATTAAAATAAATTTTAAGTCGGGCCCTTTTTATCCAATCGGTCGGGAGAGGGCAACGAAACAATTTTTTAAAGGTGACCTAGAGTGATATCTATATAACTGTAACGTTATAGTGCTTGAAGGAATGGCAAGAAAACTTTGAGGAAGAACAACAGACGGAGAAAGTTCTTTAAGGATTAGAAGGAAAATACGAGGGCCGTTCAAAAATTACGCGGACTCGGGTAATATTTACTCTTACAGACGTCATATACCAATAAAACTTTACAGAAATATATTTCTTTATATCTCAAATTAATTTATTGTATTATTTTTGATTATTAATAATTTTTTCTTGAAAATATTGCTGTTAAGATATTGCAGAAGTTAATGTACGGAGCACGGCAACAATTTTGAAAAACAAATTTAAGGAATCAATAATTTTACTCATTTATTTCCAATAATTCGCGGGAAAAATCACAAATTTTCTCTGCAGTTTCTTTTCATTGTTACGTCACTACAGGTTTAAATTTTTGACGTAATATTTGGAGTAGTTATAGAAATATTAATTTTTTTCTCTGGAGTGTTCCTTTCAAGAACAGCTGAAACAATGACGTCAAGTGACGTTACGGAGCATCGCACGTTCATGAAATTTTGCGTAGCGCTCGGGAAATCACCAACAGAGACACAAAAGATGCTTGATCAAGCGGACATTAAACCATCGGTATGCCGAACTCTTGTCTTCAAGTGGCACAAAAGATTTTCAGACGGTAGGACGTCCGTGGAAGACGATCGGGGGGGGGGGGGCGGAAGACGATCATAGACGAAAACCTTATCTTACGTGTTAAGAATGTGATTGAGAGTGACCGACGTCACACAGTTCAAGAAATATCAGCAGTTGTTGGAATTAGTACTGGAACTGTACATACAATTTTAACTGAACATTTGAACATGTGCAGGGTTTCGGCAAGGTGGATTCCCAGATTATTGTCTGTAAATGATAAGTCAAGCGTGTTCGATTGTCCAGGAATTTTCTTAGACGCCACGCAAGTGAAGGAGACTCTTTCATCAATAAGATTATCACGACCGATGAAACATGGCTTTTTTATTTCGACCCTGAGACAAAACAGCAATCGTCTGCCTGGAAAAGAAAATCTTCTCCTCCCCCACAAAAAGCGAAAGTCCGCCAATCGTCAAGGAAAAACATGTTTATTTTCTTTATGGACATCCAAGGCATGCTATTGATCCACGCTGTTCCTGCACATCAAAATGTTAACGCAAATTATTATTCGAAGGTCAGTTTTTTAACACGGACAGATAAAACACTTAATATACATTATGTAGATGTATAAGATAAAACTTGGGTTTTTTCATGTTGGAGGTAAATTTCCTTTTTTAAAAAAGTCTTAATGAACCCGATATTTAATTTTCCAGGTTATCAGACGAGATCTCCTTCATGCCGTAAGGAAAACACGACCAGGTACAAACTTGGCAGAGATGATCTTACACCAGGATAATGCACCTGCACATCGAGCTGAAATAACAATTCTAGAGCTTGATCTTCTTGGACTCGAGAGAGTGGAACATGCACCTTACAGTCCTGATTTGGCACCAATGGACTTTAAAGTCTTCCCGACGGTGAAATCCCAGCTTCCCTTCAGGAAGTTTGACAATATTGACGAACTGAAGTATGCAACTCGATCTATAGTTTCTAAGTTGGACAAGAAATGGTATAGAGATGTCTACGATGAATGGATATGGAGACACAAACTGTGCATCAAACACAAAGGGGAGTACTTTGAAAAGATGTGAGCGCGCATTTTTTATGACGCCAATGACGTCGCAGATATCACGCGCCGACTGCGCCGTGACTTCAGGATATATGCTAATTCAGCACCCTCTACTGATGTCAATTTGCGATGTTTTGAAATGAAATTTAAAAAAATTATATAAGTAAAGATTTCTTTATCATATGTGTGGTTTTTCATTTGTTTTTGTCGTCAAATATTTTTTCTATGCAACAAGTCCGCGTAATTTTTGAACGGCACTCGTATTACCACTATTTTGGGCATTGATTTGAGAATACATATCTATGCTATGTATAATTAATGCATAAAGCATTATTTTCCTTGTGTTCTATAATTAGCTTCCTAACAAACAAGTCTTATTAGCAGAACACATATAACATTTTAAGCCCTAATGTTTTATACTCTCTTTGCTTCCCTACAATAATTATTAATATTCAAGATATATCTGATTGCACTACATGTAATTTAATTAACAAGTGAAAAAAAGGCTGGAAAACTCAACAAAAGATAGGAATTCTGATTTATGATTAAAAAAAAAAAAAGAAAATAGGGACAAAAGACCACAGTATAGCTATTTTTAAATCACTTTTATTTTTGATTAAATGCTACGAAATTACTGCATTGTTTAAAACAAAGAAACATTTAGGTCAAAGCATTGTTTTAACATGACATGGTTATAAACAAATAACTATCTATGTGTAACAATGTATTTCTTTTAAATTGCCTGTTTTTCTGTACTACATATCTACAAATTATTTTTTCTTTCCATAAAAAGGGCATTGATCATAGCAAGAACATTGGACGTGTGCAAACGATACAGACTGAAGAAAAACTTCCGAAAAGTAACCGAAAATAAGAAGCTTATAACAATACATTGACAAAATCTGCATTTGATACATAATGGAAAAATCGAACAGCATAAACTGATCATACAAAGCCCATAGTTTATATCCGTAATCATTAAATATACATAATTAAAGACAAAGCGTTTTCATTGCTGGTCTTAAACAAATGAAAATATTGGCAGGTGTTTCTGGTCTCAATTTACGTGGTATTGTATGATCTTTTAAATTTGATATACTAAAATATCAAATGACATGGATGACGAAATGAAGGGTCATTATGATATTCTACGTAGTCTCTATTTATTAATTTCAATTTTAAGCATTTGTGAATTGTAGAGGAACATATGTCGAATGATAAACGATAAAGAATGATGAATAATTTAATTTCTGTATTGTTTGTATAATAATAAACTCAGCGCAATTTTATTTGAACAAGTACCACGTATCCTGGTATAAGAAAAAGCTGAAAGCGAAAACAATCATATGAATACTTTAACTGTGGAAATTCTAGTTTTTTTCTTTTTTTTTTTTTTTTTTTTTTTTTTTTTTTTTTTTTTTTGTCAATATTTAATTTCATCATTTTATCTTGAAATTTCTAAGTTTGACGCCAGCAAACACATTTAAGTACATTAAGTGTAATTGTCGTGTGGAATTATCCTGAAATTTGTAATGAAAGCGTTCAATGCCCTGTACTGCTGTCTCAGATGAAAGGGAATATTACTGAAATCGATAAATTTGACGTATCAATCATTCTAAATTCCCAACAAAAAATATCAAAAATTCTATGAATATCTTCAGTTTCTAAATAAGATTGTTACTACCAAGATTTATAGATTCAAATGAAGGCCTTTGATAATGACATTAGATTTAATGTTTCACTTTTACCATGGGAAATTTAAACTCGGTAATTGTTTTACTCAATTTAATCAACACAAATAACAATTATCAGTTAAATGTGAAAAAATAGAAATAAATCTCAATAGGTGTTACTTTTTTCATTGTTATACATTTATTCAAGATTTAGTTCCGCTACTCTGCATTTTGTGTGATTCTATTGTGTCTACAGTTAAAACGGGCTTTGGAAAAACAGAACCACTTTCTCTTGCTTTTTGCAGACTAAACCTACTCTCACTTTTTCTCTCCTCTTTGTGTTTGTGATTTGTGTATTCCTTTAGTTTGTTGTAATAAATAGTAAAATTTGATGTCACTATGGCAACTGGCATAGAAAGAATTAGAATTCCCGTCAGAGCACATACCATTCCTACGACGCGGCCAAGATAGCACGTGGGCACTACGTCACCATATCCTACTGTCGTCATGGTAACAACAGCCCACCAAACCCCAAGGAAAGCATTATTGAATGAATTTTTGTCTTCGAACTCAGCATAATAAATCAAGTAACCGAAAAATAAATTTGAAAGAATAAATACAGCTATAAGGATTCCAAACTGACAAATACTTGAGCGAATGGCCAGATTTATAACGTCAAAACTTTTGAATCTATTGAGAAATCTATAGAACCGACATAATTGAAGCAGCCGCGCAAAGTACAGGATCATGATTATATAAGAAAATGCTTTGTCTTCAATGAAGTTTGGTCCGCTAATAACTAAAGAACATAAAGCCCAAAAGGCTATGATAACCACACCATCAATTACATTAAGTGCCGTACAAAAAAACTTCCTCCATTTTATCGGCGTCACAACAATACGTGTGATGAATTCAAATGTAAAAAATATACCACAAAAAAGATCTACGTAGAAAACTGGCGGAGCAACCGTAGTTTTGGTATAGATATGCTCTTTTTCCACGGCCGATGTTTCGTTGAGGTGGTCAGGTTTGGGGTTTCGTAGATCTGGAATGGTGTTTATGAACAATACCGAGGTGGAAAGGACAACTACCAGTAGGTACAGAATGTTGAATACCTTTCAGAAAATGAAACGATTATTTTTTTTTTCAGATTGACCAAAAAAAAAAAAAACAAACAAACAAACAAACAAGCAAACTTTTAAAAAAAAAAAATAAAAAAATAATTTTCATCGTTTGATCTATAAGACGTATCATGATTGATTGTTTTGTTTTTGTTTTTTTTTTTTTTGTATTAAAAGGTAAAAAAAGACTTGCTGTTGAAAGAAAAATTAAAGATTCTTAAAAGGTTGGGTTATTTTTTTCAATTTTAAAACAATAAATATTCTAGGTTTATTTCTTTTCAATTATTAAAAAAAAACTTACGCTAGCTTTTCGCGATGAGGCAGGATATTGTATAGTTTTCCAGATGCAATTTCGCCAACATCCTCTGCGACATTCTTCCTTAGGAATATCCAAAACTTTATATTTTTCAAGATTCTTGATTTCATTCAAAATACTCTTGTCATTCTCATGTTTGTAGAAAGCTTTCAAACAACATTCACTTAGATAGGATTTGTCAATTTCCCAGAATTCAAGCTCGTTTCTTATAGTAGCCCCGCATATGTTTGAAGGAAAATGAAGCTCTCCCGTCCTATAAAGATCCAAAATGCTATTGAAAACATCCGGGTTTCTGTCAAAGTAGAAAGAAGCTGTGGAAGCTTTGTCTGAGATATCTCGCTTGAGAGAACTAAGTTTTGTGCCGGGTATTTTTTCCAAAGTTTCAAATGTAGTTTGAAATATGGAACCACCAATATTCAATAATACAGTTGTCATTATGGATATTTTATGTATTTTCAAAAACTTAGTCACTGTTTACGATTGCCATAATCGCGGATAATCAAAAGCATATCATCAACCAGTCAAACATGCATAAGACCTATCTTCAGAAGGAAAAAAAATGGTCAATTTCTTTTTCAAGTTGAATTTCTCCAAAAATATTCTTCTTATCTTGATAAAATTTGAATACTTGGCTATGAATACATCGATGAAGAACATGAATATCATTGCCTTTTACATCTTCACATCCAAAGACAGGTCTTTTTAAATGTAACGTAGATGAATTTCAGCTGTAGAATAGACGGAAAGAATCGATTTAGTTTCCGGCTGGTTAAATAAATTGTCAATGAGTTTCTGAAAAAAAAGCTTTCAATTTCATTAAAAATGTACCATTCTAACTTTCAGTAAATGACTAACTCTATCATCAGATAATCATAGAGAAAAATCATTACAGGCCTACACCTCAGTTCGTAGAATTGTTATTTTTCCTATTTTCCCCTTTTTATAATGCCACGTATTAATACTTAATCTGTAAATATTTAAGCGTCTAGGAATCATAATACAAACTCCTCTATAGACTGTAATTTCATCCAATAGTCAACGACGCTTTCAATATAAACAATACTTTATATATTTAAAACAACTGAAAACCGATAACTGGTTTTGATATCAGACTGCATAATCGATGCTTTTGCTAACATTCTAATCAAGCACTTCTTAAAAAACTCATTAAACATTTTTATTAGTTCCAAAGAGAGAAAACAATATAATCAGCAAATATATCCGTACCATATGGACGACAATTTATATTTACATATACGTTATCACCGAATAAAAAGGTATTTTAAAATACTTTACATTTAATCACATTTAGAACATGTCTTTGAACCGGTTGATCCAGATATCCAATTGAAATGGGATAGAAACAATATGTTGTTGCAAATGCCGCGTCTTTTTAATATATCAATAATAAATAATGTTATATATAGAATTTTTAACAATGTGATTTGGGGGTTATGACTGTTCACAAACGTCGATTTGAACACAAAATATTTCATGGACCCAATTTCGCCAAACTCCACGCAAAAAATCGATTTATTACCATTGCATACCCCCAAAATTGGCAGATATACTTTAAAGTATCCATCAACCTTATTTGAATTTGGTAATAATTAAAACACAAAACACATTAAAAAGTTTACAACGCCTGGATAAACCAATGAATTAAAAAATATCAAATATGTGCATGTATTTTACGATGGTTGTTAAAAGTTCGAGGAGATCTTCTATTTTGAGCGTGCTATTTGCATGAAACCAGTAAAACTCTGTGGATAAAAACTATACGTATTTTCGAACAAATATGCAAAGATTTGATGTTCTGCGATGATCCCTAAAAATATACAGCTTTATAATTTAGATAAAACATACGTCACGGAGCATGTCACTTTTTTGCACGTTAACATTGCACAGACATTTTTTCATATTAAAAACTTATAACCTACACGTACCCAGGACAGTGTTCAAAACCTAGTAACTTTGTAAGAATGGAAGGATTGACAGTTTTGATAATCAACTCCTTGATACCCCCAAATCCCACATTTTAAGATCTCACTAATATCCGAGACGCCACAAAAGACATTTTTGAAAAAAAAAGTATCATGTCTTGATATTGTTGTTCAATTTTTAAGCACGTAAAAGACAAGAAAAATATACAGAACTGAAAGATATTTAGAACTGTTACAGTGAAAAAGCTTAACAAGTTTGGAATCAGGTTGTCACTTCACCTAACGTCAAGTGATTGCTGCCTGAATCCTATGACGGCACATGAAAATTATCGAAAATCTCAAAATGTTAGTAAATGGACCTGATGTTTTAATTACTAATGAACAAAAGATAAGAATTTGTTCAGACATACGTTATACTTCAAAGTACATTGAAATTTGTTTAAATCGTGACCCAACGCCTGCCGTGAAACGGGACCTCGGTTTTTAAGGTCTTATCCGAAGGACCCGCAACTTTCACTTCAAAGTGCTGAGCTCTTGGCGAAGGAACAGTTGCTACCTATTTTTTATCAACTTAGGTCAGTCGCGGTCGTGGTTCGAACACACAACCTTCCGATCACGGAGCGAGTGCTCTACCGACTGAGCTACCGTGACGGTCTCCAAATATTCAAGATATGGTGTCTGGATGTTCAAGAATGTTTCCAGTTCTCGGGATTTTGTTTCTACATGTATATGTTCAAGATTTTTTTTTTTTACAGATCTACGAGATAATATTTCTAGATCTTTAAAATATTGTTTTAAGGTGTTTAGAATTATTTCCAAATGTATAAGATATTGTTTCAAATATTTCAAAAAAATTGTTGTAACTTTCAAAAATGTTTCCTATATAAATATCTCTATATAAATTAACAATAGGCGGGATCATCTCTATCTTATCAGTTATCTCAAACATTGAAGCGGGCACTAGATATATCAAAATAAAATCCAATTCAATTCAATTTAGACATCACCATATTGACATACAGCCAAAATAAGAAATCAAATGACAGATAACAGAAAAAAGGAAGAATATTATAACTTAATTGCATGCAATTCAATTTTACACAATTCCTTAAGGCCGGTGCACACAGTAAGGCTTGCCTTATAAGTTTAAAACCTTACGTTTTGCCGGTCTTACGACTCCCGCGTCCACACGTTAAGGCAAGACTTACAAGATTATATACAGCATTTCTGTAAATCCCACGTGTTACCAGCCATATATATATGCATTCGGCCATTAAAATAGAAGAATAGAGTACTAAGCTTTGTAATAATTATACCATCAAGTACATTCACACAAAAAAGAAAGAGGTTGAACAGAAGCATTTGTGGATATTTTCATTAACTTATTCGAAAAAAACTTTGTATTCACTTCAATATACCCACGTGTATGTTCTATAAAAATAGAATGACATTTGGGCGAATGATTTTCATTGGTTGAGAAGACTATTTCAGCTTAGTCTTGTATTACGAAATAGAGCAGTGTTCTATTTGTAAGTCAGACTTGTAAGGCTATATATATATATATATATAGAGAGAGAGAGAGAGAGAGAGAGAGAGAGAGAGAGAGAGAGAGATAAGTTGTTACAATTATTTTTACAATCTGAGGAAAATGCATAGATTTTTGTAAATGTAAAAAATTGCAAGTATATATCTAGGAATTATTACTGATTTCTGATATTGAGATGTGATCAAAAGAAGTAAAGGGATTCAAACTGGAAGGGAAAGAGGCAAATGGCTGGATCAGATGTCAAAATCTAGTACAATCATACGGTTTGAGACAAATTAGCTCTTTTGTCTGAGCATAGAATTAGTTCTTGTTTGAAGAAATTCCGTCTGATTGCTGGTTTTCTGCATAGTACTTGAAGCATTAGTTCATCTCATTTATACGGACTCCTAGAAAATTTCATTTCCATATGTTATGAAATTTTACAATGTGAGCATAACTGATTAATTAATTTTCCATGGTTTTCTTCCATGAGTTCGCCTGCTAGACAAATTAATTAATTTTCCATGGTTTTCTTTCATTAATTCGACTGCTTGAAAGTCATTTACGTAACTTATAAGTAGTGTTCACATCTTGACCAGAATTCATTTAAAATATTTATGAATCCTTTTCCATCATACAGAATACGTTAGAATTATAACATAATTGCATGTTTTATAGAAATTTCTCATAAAACTTTTCACATTTATCTCTCTTATAAAGAAAATATGCAATATGAACGATATTTTGAATGAATTTTGTTTCATTTCAATGTTTCATTGTTTAATATATAAAACACTACATATACTCTTTCATTCCTTGAAAAATACGTAAGAAGAAAAACTTACATTTTTTCCAGTTTGAGAATGAAAATGGTGAAAATTTTAAATAAATAATTTTCGATCGGATACATACGTTGATTAATACAAATGGGGAAGAGGTCGGATCAGGTACCTATCCATAAAGAGAAAGCATCCCTGTCGACTTGTCGACCCTTAGATTTAAAGAGCTAGATAAATCTATGCCTTGAATATGTTTTATCTAAAACTGATCATAAACAAGCTGATGTTTGCTTGCCAACCATGTTAAAAGGAAGCTAAACTTCCGTACAAGTATCTTTATTATCTTCCATGTCTTTATTGCTTCATGAACTCTGACTGTGTGATGTATACAAAACAAAATACATTATGTTCATAAATTTACTTATATATACGACATGTATCTCGTACTTCGCTGATGAAAGTGACGATGATGACTTTGACATATGTAGACATTATGTCAAGGTCAAATAGTTGTAAACAAGAAATGGTTCTCAGACGGATTTAAAAAATCAAGCATGAAACAATTTGCCAAAAAGAAAACAATCACGAAGACTTGTATTCGATATACAGAAATATTTAAAAATATCTCATATGATAGAATGAACTTTACAAAGGACAACCCAGAGACGGCATATACCGGATGCGCGTTATCCACATTTTTTGCTTTAGTACAGTGTAAATCACAGGACGAAAGTCCATCTTTAAGCAATTGTTTAATGGTGGCTTAATGGTAGCTTAATGGTGGCTTATAGAAGTTAATTCTTTTAAGCCACCATTAAGCTGCAGCTTCTAGGTGCTTAATGTCCAAACTTCATTAAGCTACCATTAAGCCACCTTTAAGCTGCAGCTTAATGGTGACTTAATGTCCAAACTTAATTAAACCACCTTAACGCATCCAGTATCAAGTCTTTGAACTAACTTGTTAAGTTTGAAGTTGTTTCAATATCTTTTACGCAAATACTTATTCAATTCATAATTTTTTTCTCGCTATTTCTAACATTTTTGTCAATGCGTATAAACTCGGGAACTGAGAAAGCTTCACCAAATGCCTTAAAATTTTCGCTACCGAAAATCAGTTTGTTTGAACACTTTTTTTAAAATCATTTTTATCCATAAATACATAATATATTAATATTAATTTATTAAAAAATCACATATTTTTCTTTCGTGCTTGGAGAGCCAAGTTCCGCTGCCGAATTCATAGGAAATGTTGTAATTAGAGTCATTTTCTTCTGGAATATTTCTAAGTCTCTTAATTTTTCTTTGGGTAGAGAAATGTTTAAGATTTTAAAAAAATATATAGG